GGTCCAGGACTTGAACCATGGTCAACCATGTGGGAATCCAGCACCTCAACTGCCACGCCACCTCCTGGCCCTAATACCTCTTTTAAAAAAATTGCTGTAGGACATGTGTGTTCACCAGGGAGAGACAGAGAGACAGAGAGAGGGAGAAATCACCCTCCATTGGGGCGTGATCATGCTGCAGTCTCTTCTCCATTTTTCTATCACACACACACACACACACACACACATACATGCCTAGTGTGTTTTTCAAGCCACCAGAACCAGGATTTGAAATGTGATTGGCATTCAAAATTGGGATTGGGGTCTGGCTCTCTACTTCTAGGCTATGAGGCCAGGCCTCTACCTCATAATCATACTTGTGTAGCCAACAGAAATAAAGTTGCAGGGGAAGTGAGTGCCAAAGGCAAGTTCGTCAGACTATATTCCTTTCTCTTTTTCCTTTCTAGACCCTGACTGCACCTGCCCCATTTGCAGATGAAACCAGCTGCCAATGCCAAGCACCCCATGAAAAACTGACCATTGCTCAGGCCCGCTTAGGAACACCAGGTGAGGCTGTACATCTTGTTCCCCAAATGGGCCCTGTCTTGCCATCTCAAGTATGAGGAAGTCCTGTCATTATTTGAACAGCACCCACTTCCTGAGAGTTGAGTTTAGAGGTTATATAGCACAATGCCAGAGTGGTAGACACTAACAGTGACAAACTAGACCAACCAAGGACCGAGGTAGCCAAGGAAAAGACGCAGTGTGGAGCTTGAGGGCCCACTCTGCCTTTGCTGTTATAGATCTACAGCCCTGGGCAAGTCGTGAGAAAGATCTGAATCTGTTTCCTCCTGTGCAGATCAGGCACAATGATACCTGCTTCTTAAGGTTTTTCTAACCATTACATTTAGTTAAAAGTACCAAAGCATTTGGGGACCAGCAGTTAGTGTAATGGCTATGTCGCTGGACTCCCATGTAGTCAATCCCGGTTCGAGTCCCATACCCGGTGCCTTAAAAAAGCTCATGCCAGGCGCGTGTGCATGTGTGGCCAAGATCCCGAGAGGAGAAGAGATTGTGGCATAGCCAGCCCCCCTGGGGGGTGATTTCTCACTTTCTGTCTCTCTTTCTGTCTGGCGAGCGCACGCGCCCTATGGCAAAAAAACCTCTCAAAAAAAAAAAAGTACCAAAGCATTTGTACTACTTTATTTTATCTTTTTTAAATTGCCAGAGGCTTCATTCACTCACCAGCAACAGAGACAGCAACAGAGGTGGAAGGAAGAAAGCACCCCCATGGGGCACCGTCACACCACAATCCCTTCTCTTCCATTTTTCCCTCCTGTTGGGATTTTGGGCATTCATGCACACATACCTGGCATGATTTTTGTTTTTTTTAAAAAAATAATTCTTTCTTAAAAAGAATTATTTAATTTTATTTATTTATTACTATTTTTCAATTTGACCAGAAAGAGAGAGAGAGAAAGCAAGCCACCAGGTCTGGGACCCGAACCATGGTCCATGTGGGAGTCCAGTGCCCCAACCACCATGACAGCTGCTGGCCCCACACCTGGTATGTTTTCAGGCTGCCAGGACTGGAACTGGAACTGTGCAGTTGGCCATATGGGATCTAGTTCACTTGATCAATAGACTATAAATCTGGCCCACAATGTATTTTTCAAACTATGAATGCTTCTTAAAAAATAATTATATACTTTATTTATCATTATTGTTATTTTTAAATTTGCTATAGGGTGCGTGTGCTCACGAGAGAGAGAGAGAGAGAGAGAGAGAGAACTCAAGTTGCCAGGCCCAGGACTCAAACTGTGGCCAAGCATGTGAGGAGTCCAGTGCCTTAACCACTATGCCACCTACTGGCTCACTATGAAGGCTTTTATGAATCTAAGCTATTGTAATTATTACCATTCTTTTTACTTAAATTTATTTTTAAAACTTACATTTAATTACTGTACAACATGGTTTTTCCCAGCATGCATACAGTACATATTAGTCAAGTCAAAGACATTACCAGATACATTAGCATCAATAGGTAACTTTTCATTTCTGTCAACTAAGTTTTGTTTGTTTGTTTCCCTGTTCCCCTCCCTCTGGCCCCTTATTATCCATCCCCTTCTATATTGTCTCTAGTATCTATAATTGCCCTCACTGCTGTTATACCTTATACTCTTTTCATTTCTGCTATAGAGTGCAGACATTTGGTATATATTAAGTGGGAACATACAATGCCTGTCTTTCATAGTCTGACTTACTTCATTTAGCATTACATCTTCCATATTCTTCTGCTTTATATCAAATATCAAAGTCTCATTGTTTTTTTATGGCTGAGTAGTATTCCATAGGACCAACCCAGATGTTCAGGAACAGATGAGTGGATTGAAAAAAGTATTGCCATTCTTAAAAGCCTGGATGAAAAAAAAAAGTTTTGTGGGCTAATAACTGGGCTAAAATCTAGAAAGGAAAAGTAGAAGTTTGCTTTCACTTATTCCTTTAGCATGTACCAGAGGATGGATAGGGAAGAGGTTTAGAAGTTTGATAAGGTATCATCTCTGTTTCTTAAGAGCTTCGTGATATTAAAGAGATGACGAGATATGGAATAAAAGCCACAAGTAGCATGCATACACACAAGCTTAGGGTTTAAATCTTGCATCATGGATGTTAACCAACAGTTTAGGGATGGGCAGATGCACTTGGCCTGGAGCAGCAGTCAGGCAAGATTTCGATGACTAGAACTGATACTTGTGCAAGAAGTAAAATTCGGACTGTGTGGGCCGAAAATGGAAAGGTATTCTGGGCAGGTGGAACAGGAAGAGTCAAGGCACAGAGATGGGGAGCTGTGTAGGAGTAAATGAATGAGTGCTGTTCCAGTTGATTGGGCGAGAATGGAAAATAAGACTAGTTGAGTAGGTGCATTTGGAGCCATTTAAGATGGTGTAAGTCATTGGTTTCTACTTGCCAATGCTAAAAGCAAATGGCCAAATTTCATAAAATCCGTGAGACAAAGGACAGTTTACTTAATTATAATAATGGATATTTCTTTTTTTAAAAATGATTAATGATATGTCATTTACTTTTATGTCGTTACTGCAAGCAACTGCAGTATGTCAAGTGAAATACTGACAGGGCAATCACATTTCCCAGTCTGCCCACAGGGTGCACCTCTGTGTTTACGGTACCAAAGTATTTATACTACCCCCGTTCCTTCTCAAAGTATTTCACTTTGGATAAGAAGCTAATGATCACTGGAGTAATGAACTCAGGAAAAAAGACTCTTGACCCAGATACCTGCTCACACCCCCTCTGAAAAGATATTTCTTATGTACGTGCTATGTACCAAGGTCTTTATATGTATCATGTCATTTCGCTATCACAACTCTATATGGTTAGTACTTTCAGTATTTCGAAGATGAGGAATTGAAGCTTAGAGAACTTGTGAATCAGCATCAAGGTCATTCAGTAATAAGTGGTGGTAATTCTCACACTTTAGCAAGCATCAGAATCCCTTGGAGGAGGGGGGAGCTTGTAAGACCACAGCTGGCAAGGCCCCTACTCCAGAATTTCTGATTTAGTACAGCTGGGAAGGGCCTAGGTCGCTGCATCTCTTAACAAGTTCCTAGGTGAGGCTGCAGCTCAGGGGTCCCCACTTGGAGAACAATTGGTAAGTGGTAAAACCGGGATTTGCCCCCAAACCTGTTTGTGTTAGAGCTTCATCATTTAACCATGATATTCTACTTCCTCTTTAAGAATAGCCTTGAGCCAGCAGGTGGCATGGAGGTTAAGGTGGTTGGATCCCACATAACTGATGCTGTGGTTTGAGTCCTGGACTCAGCAGCTTGAAAATCACACCAGGTACGTGTGTATGCCTGCCCCAGATCCCAAGAGGAGAATGGAGGAGAAGGGATTGTGGTGTGGCCATTCCCCTTGGGGGGTAATTTCTCACTTTCCGTCTCTCTGTCTCTCTCCAGTGAGCACCCATGCACTATAGCAAAAATTTAAAAGAATACCCTTTAAAGAGTGAGGAGGAGGGTGGGCAGGAGTTAGACTGCTTTTCAGAAAGAAAACTAGACACTTGGGGAGTTCGGAGCAGCTGAACCAGTCATTCTCAGCCTCTAGTGTGCAAAGAATCACCCGGCAGGCTTGTTAAAGAAGTAGATTCCCTCTTCCTCATTCCCAAATCTGGGATGGGCCTTAGGGATCTACACTTTCGTTTAGTTGCAAGAGGGTGCATACATTTGTCAGAGAGACAGAGAGACAGAGGGAAGGGGAGAAGGAGAAAGCACCCCCCCGACACACACACATACCGTGGGACCTGGTCATGCTGCAATCTCTTCTCCATTTCTTTATCCTGTCACGCATATGTGCTTGGTGTGTTTCCCAAGCCACTGGGGCTCAGACTATGTGACTGTTCTTGGGAATCTCCCTGGGGGTGATTTCTTACTTTCTGTCTCTCTGTCTCTCTCTGTCTCTCTGGCAAGCACACACAAACCCTATTTTCAATTACCTATAGCAAAAATCCCTCAAAAAGAAAAAAGTAACTTGTCGAACGTCCTAGATGACTGGGCAGAGCAAGGATTCATCCTCAAGTCCCCTTCACTGTGAACCCATACTTTGTCCACAGCAGACCATGGAGCTAAGAGAAAACACGCTCAGGCTTTGAGCCAGAGGGTGGCAAGTGTGAACAAGACAGACAGAAGCTGTGATCTTCTGTAGTGTGTGACTATCTGCCATGCTTGCTGTAGCACCTAGAGAAACACTTGTCACATACTGCGTTCTTAATAAATATTTTGTAAGTGAATAAATGAATGAATGAATGAATGAAATTTTAAGAGAGAAGCAGAATTTGTTCAGATGCTTTGAGCCAGCATGAAGCTAATTGGATGAGATTGGGCACCTGTACGTTGCCTAACTGCCAAGCAGTTTAAATCCCAAGAATCAGGTCAGAAAAAGATGGTGGTCCATTTTGCAATAGCTGCAAGGTGGGCTCTGTTTAACACAGGTCACTATAGGAGAAGTGAGATGAAGTAAAGGTGAAGTTGGATCTTTAGAAGAAAAAGTTTGCCCTCTTATCGCAGGTGATGACAACAGGAAGTTTCTAAGATAATTACAAGGTTGATGGGCACCGACTTAGGGAACTTCTGTTAGAAAATCCCTTTATTTAAAACTTCTAATATTAGTGTTAAATGTGACAAATAATGAATTTTTTAATTACTTAGAAGACCCATATTCAGGGACCAGCAGTTAGTGTAATGACTATGTCGCTGGACTCCCATGTAGTTGACCACGGTTGGAGTCCCGGACCCAGTGGCTTAAACTCAAACTGGGCGCGTGTGTGTGCATGCCCAAGATCCTGATAGGAGAATGGAGGAGAAGGGATTGCAGCGTGACCATCCCCCTGAGGGGTGATTTCTCACTTTCTGTCTCTCTGTCTTTCTGGTGAGCACATGCATACTATAGCAAAAGCCTCTCCAAAAAAAAAAAAAAAAAGAAAAGAAAAGAAAGAAAAGAAAAAAAGACATATATTCATCTTAGACTACACTCTGATACTCATTGTTTAA